CATACATATATATATCTATATATATATATATATATATATATATATATATATACACACACACACACACACACACACACACACACATACATACATACATATATATATATATATATATATATATATATATATATATATATATATATATAAAATTGACGTCAGAATTATTAGGCCCCCTTTGATTTTTTTAAAAATATTTGCCAAATTATGTTTAACAGAGCAAGGAAATTTTCACAGTATGTTTGATAATATTTTTTTCTTCTGGAGAAAGTCTTAATTGTTTTATTTCAACTAGAATAAAAGCAGTTTAATTTTTTTAAACACAATTTTAAGGACAAAATTATTAGCCCCTTTAGGCTACTTTTCTTTTCGATAGTCTACAGAACAAACCACCGTTATACAATAACTTGCCTAATTGCCCTAACCTGCCTAGTTTACCTAATTGACCTAGTTAAGCCTTTAAATGTCACTTTAAGCTGTATAGAAACTGTTATTGAAACTTTTATGTTTAGAAATTTGTTAAAATAATCTTTTCTCCATGAAACAGAAATCGGGGAAAAAATAAACAGGGGGGCTAATATATATATATATATATATATATATATATATATATATATATATATATATATATATATATATATATAGTGAAAATGAAGGCTCAATTTCACAAAGTGGCCCTTCTCATAACTAGAAAAATAGGAAATTACCTTAATGTCCCTAATCAAATTGCCAGACTGACTGAAAAACGATGCAGATTATATCGGCAAAACCAAATTGCTTAGCAGAAGCAATTAAAACAATAATAATGCCACAACAATTTATCTCTGATGTATTGAAGCAGCAAACTGCCCAGTCAAAAGGCATTAGACTTTAAATGAGAAAGAGAGAATATTAACTCTTCAAAGGGGAAGAGTGAAACTTTCCAATAAATCACCCGAGGAATGGAAAAAGTAATCAATGCAGGACTGTGTAAAATTCTGACCATGTTCCATCAGTTCACCTTGAACCTTTCGCTTTAATGAAACTATCAAAGTAGTCTCGTTGAAGACCTTGCCCTTTGCCAAAGAAATCTTATCTTTACAAGTAAATGATAAAAAAAAAAGAAAAGAACCGCAAGAAATTTTAGATTAACAATCAGACAACAGCAGGATTTCGTTTTGAAGAGACTGAATTTTCATCTTTTGTAGAATTGTTTTTGAGCAAAACCCATGTTTGTTTACCTGGGGTTCCACAGATCTCCACACTCAGTGTGCGTTCAATGGTTTTGTTCTCAAACGGAGATCCCTTGTGGTCACTGCAACACAGAGGAGGGGAAAAACAGATATGAGAACAGGGTAGGAGTGCTGAACATGTTTGTGTGAGCTTACAAATGGAAATGAAATTAACAAAATGCCTCATCATTTTTCCTTTTTTTTTTGAGTTTAGACTTTGTCTGCTCTACAAAAGTTGTGTAAAAACTCTCTCACTTACTTTGGAGACTCTGGGGTCAAAGGAAGTGGCAAGATGGTTGGTTTGGCTGCAGAACACAAAGGAGCATGTGTAATTAATTTACTAGTTCACACTGTACCCAAAATATTTCAGGTCCACATCTACAACTAAATCTCTACGACTCAATCAGTGACAGCAATGGTGTTGCAAATCCAACCCTGCTCTGAAAGGCTAGAGGCCTCTCCAGCCATACATTTTGGGAAAAACCAATAGTTGTGCTAACTTGACCCCATAGTTTTTGTCTTTATCTGACTGCATACTTAGTGAGGCAGGATGAAGTGATGGCATGTGTTCAGTTTCCCAGCCCATCATACAAGGTCCACCACATTCCAACAGTCGAAATGAGCAGAAAATGTAAAACAGACTATGACATGAAAAAGAATGGCACAAATGTTTCGTATAGCTAAAATGAACTCTAACAAGAAGAAATTTCGCATGCAATTGAAACCAAAGCAGAGGAAGAAAGAAGAGTCAAGGAAGCGTGTGCAGTTGCCTGAGGCTGCGACCGTCTCCAACTGCAGCTAGGGAGTATCTCTCTGTTAGACAGCTATATTATTGCAGCCCGAGAAAGAAGCTTTTCAGCACAGATCTGAGTTTGAAATTGGGCGACGTGATAGTTCAAAGTGTTACACAGGCGTTCCCCATCTTTCATTTAGAATTCATCTACAGATTAAGGTTTGTGCCAATTCAGGGGTTGACCATTTGGAGCGAATGGTGCGGCTGGCTGCTTTTGGTTTTGCTCTCAAGTAAATGTTAGGTTTGAGTTAGCGCTGGGGTTAGTGTGTGGTCAAACGGGGAAGCAGTTAAAGGAGGAGAGGCAAAGGAGAGAGGGCAGGGATGCAGCAATGATTACCTAACATTGGTGGGACTTGGTCATCAAGGTGCTTGCAGAGTGCCTGCTTTTGTGAGTCGGAGGGTGTGCGCTCTGGAACTAAAGAGTCTGGGAACAATGGGCTTGGCAGGCCCTGTGAGAATGACATGGGGCTGCCTATGACATCATCAAAAACATCCTCCCCGGCATGGCCCACCAGATCATGCAAGCCGCTTCCTGTCACCTGTTCTGGCATGCTTAACCAGCTCTCTAGATCTAATTTAAGCTCTGATGAACACTCAAGATTACTCTGGTCGCCCATACTAAATGTTTGCTCATATGAGCTTGGTGTTATTCTAGGTTGCTCACAGCTAGCTTGTTTTAAGTGTCCAGGGCTCTCTTGGACTCTAGGAGTCTTGTCAAGTAGATCTTGCCTTTTATTCTGGGGGACACTGGGTAAGTGCAGGTGAGCCCGGTAACGGGCCGGTCTGGGCCTGGAGGTGAGCAGCTGACTGAGCATGGGGTGCTCTAGCTCTTGCCTCCTTTTCCTAATGGTCACCGTGATGTGCCTATTAGCATGGCCAGCCTCAGCTACGCCGCCCGCCTCAAGGCAATGACCACAGCTGCCTGCATGACCCGTCTCTCTAGGCGGGAGAGAGTAAGAGTGCATGTACCTAATAAAGCGGGCAGCGGCCAAGCTGCTTGGGTCAGCACCTGGGTGAAGGCCTGGTGGCCTCCTCTCTTCGCCGGAGCAAGCATGGCCACAGCCGCCTCCGTGGGACAGTGCAATGGGGGCGGACTGCTCCCCTTGTGTACACCGCCGCCACTTCCCCGCCCCCTCACCAGCCACACTACACGTGCTGGCTGCCTGGCTCTCACCTCGCTGGGCCTGCACTGCCAGCTGCTGCTGCTGTGATGATGGGGAGGCAGAGGACGTCTTCTTTTTGGAGGCGGTGGAAGACGAGCAGGACGACAGGGAGGAGAACGAGGAGGTGGACGAGGACGATGGAGAGGAAGAAGACGAGCAGGATGAGATGCAAGCACCTCCCCTGTCCTTGCCGCAACCTGTCCAGGTGCTCTTGGCTTCACCGGCTTTGGTCTGGAAGGCCTCGTCGCTAGAGGTGAGGTACTTGAGCAGCTCAGTGCAGGGACGTCTCATGGACCGGTTGGGACAGGCCCCTCGTGGTTTGCTGTTCCAGGGGTTTTCTGTCTAAAGAACAAGAATCAGAGAGACATACAGAAAGAGTGAGGAATGAGCATGGAATGTACCATGGGACACAGGTAACATAGGATGAATAGAACAGCGGGTTAACGCAGAGCTGGTTTAGTCTCCCAAAAGGCAACGTAAGTGTGCTTTGCCCATCATCTTAATTACGAGGTCTTGGGACGGCTCCAGGAAGATCTGCACGCAGGCAGCAGGAGGAGCCAGCGGTGTCCTCTGGGACCCTGCCATGTGCAGAGCTCCAGAAACAGAGGAGTCAAAGTCATTATGGAAAATTAACTCCTCAAAGAGAGCTGCGCATGTGCATGAGTGTGTTTGTGTGAAGGGAAGAGAATCACACATGATGTTTGCCTCAAAATCTACTCATTTTTCATTTGGCTTACAACATGACTTGGCTGTAATAAACCATTGCACCAAAACATTGCTTCAATCTCAATCAAGACACCTCAGCATTGTTCATGGAAATGAGATGGAAGATCTTCTGAAAGTCATCAAGGGTAAGGCAAGACAGCCACAACACCTCCATAACAGATACAACTTAATCAAGCTTTAGTTCCCCAGAGTGAGCAGACTACTTGTATAATTTATACGAAAGGTAAAATGACATGGAACAAGCAGATGAGCTCACACACCAGGCCTTTGATGCAAGAAGTGCGGTGAGCAGCTACCTTGGCAACAGCAGGTGCTGGTCTGATCCGTTGGTTGCTGGCTGCATGGTTCTGTGCCTTGCCACCTGGGTATTGATTATAGCTGAGCTGGGAGTTAGCAGGGGCCAGGAGGAGCTTCTTCAGCTACAAACAGAGCGATGAAACAGATCATAGGGATTACAGGCATGAATTTAAAATAACACGCAAAGAACTCCAAACAATATTTGCAATACATTTATGCATTTGGCAGAAGCTTGCATCCAAAGTGACTTACATTTCATCTAAATTATAGTAGTACCAGTTCATGAATATCCTGGGAATCAAACCCATGACCTTGCTGTTGTTAGCATTATGCGGGTATGGTCTCTTGAAATGCCAAGGATTCTCTTTGTAAGCTGATAAGCCAATTGATTTAGCATGTTTTACAATGTAAATGTCTATTTATATATTTCAATTGTTGCTGTTTTATTAGCGAGCATAGTCTCCTTGATCAAATTGCATATTTTTTTGTTACTTCAGCTTGACAGCCTTGCATGTGTTCCCTTTTTACAGTAATGAACAGTGCAATTAACACCTCAGGAACACTGGTCTACTTTGATTTGCTGTTTCAACAGCGCTGTGCCTATGTTTTTTGCACAGACATCAAAAGGAGGCTGCCACTGTCTGGCGAGTCTGTACCCATTTTTGGTGACAGGTCTGCAGCATCTCCTTATCTGGTGCTAGTGTAGACCAGACAGAGGGAGTCTGGGAAAGTGAAACACAGTGGGACTGGGGAAGAGCGAGGAAATAAAATGAGAGGGCCATGCTTCATGCCCAAATAGGATTGGGCAAAAGGGAAACACTAAGGGAGAGTCTCTTACCAGGGAAGGCTCCTCTGGCTCTGGGGTGCGTGGCGAGCCGTCAGGGGTAGAAGGACAGCTCTGATCACTGGCATTGGTCACGTCCCCATCTGCCAGGGCTTCGAACGAAGGCAACCCGTCTTCATCCACTGGGATACTGTCCAGGGTTTCTGTGAGCACTGCCAGCAAGTTGGCCTCATTTTCCTCATCTATCTTCTTAAGGGGTGAAATGAAAAGGGTGGGGGGGGGAAGAAAGAAGAGGGGGAGAAAATAGGACATTTTACTCTGGAGCAAGGTTATTATAGTTAACGAAAACGAACGAGAAAACGAAAACTAAAATTTTAAATAATTGTCGTTAATTTAAATAAAAATAAAAAACAGTTTTTTCTTTAAACTAGAACTAACTGAAGCTGTATTGTGAACATACAATACTAACTGAAACGAACTAAAATAATAGCAAAAGCCTCCTTCCCAATAATTGGTTTTATTTCTGTATCTCGATCGCGATCAAATATTTTTAATCGGATCTTTTAAGTAAACCGGTTGAACTAGTTCACCAAAACGAACTGAATCATTTGAAACGATTCGCATCTCCAGTAAGCACTTATCCACAAACTACGTATGTTTTAACATGCTCAACATCCCCCTCTGACTTGAAATATACTCTCATTCAGTTATTAGAACAGTAACGTTACACTGAGATAAAATTGAGAAGCGGTAATCCAATAATACTGTGCATGCGTGATTCAGTGAACCAAACACAGACAGTACATGACAGCCTGCTCTCATTTATTCATTTTCTTGTCGGCTTAGTCCCTTTATTAATCCGGGGTCGCCACAGCGGAATGAACCAACAACTTATCCAGGAAGTTTTTACGCAGCCGCAAACCATTTCTGGGAAACATCCACACACACATTCACACACTACGGACAATTTAGCCTACCCAATTCACCTGTACCGCATGTCTTTGGACTGTGGGGCAAACCGGAGCACCCGGAGGAAACCTACGCGAAGGCAGGGAGAACATGCAAACTCCACACAGAAACGCCAACTGAACCGAGGTTCTAACCAGCGACCCAGCGACCTTCTTGCTGTGAGGCGACAGCACTACCTACTGCGCCACTGCCTCTGAACTAAACTTAAACAACAGCAGCACGGGTAAACCGAGGGCTTAAATGAGAGGATCAGGTGAAAACATAAATTTATTTGATAACAGAAAGTCGTAATGGAATTTAAATAAGTGAATCATGCTTCAGTTGGGTTGCAAAACTGTACTGTAAGACATTTTACAGATCATGCCATGGTGATGTTTTAACTGACTGAAATTACTATTGCTGACTACATAATTTTGGTATGTTGAGTCCAAACATCCGCGGTAAATATCTGAACTTCCCGTCACTACTGTGTATCTAATCTCATATTATACTTATCTCATATTATACTTAAGGCTGCTATCTTGTGGACAGTTGCATTTGAGTTTGAGGATGGGTAGATGGTATTGGTAGATGATAGTGTTCATCAATACAGGTTTCAAAAAATGTACGGCTGAGTTTTTATTATACAATATTTATTCTATTGACTTTGAATCTTGCATCTAACAAATATCCTTATTTAAAAATAAAACTAAAACTATACTAAAAACTAAGGGTGTCACGATTTCGATTTTAAATCGAAATCGATCAAAATTTATGCTCAATTTCGATTATGCAATCAAAAAATCGAATCGTCGATGCTGCCACGCCCCATGTCACGTCAGCTTGGCTTGCCAAGCGGGAAAAAACACCTTTATGAAGTTCTTGTTAAACTGCAGACGCAGGAGACCCGTTAACTGAGCTTAAACCCTCTCCTCTTTCAATGAAGTCGCCGGTGTGGAAGTATTTTGGATTTCCAATGAGTTATGTTGCTAACGTTCGAGTTGTAAACATTAAAAAATAAACACAGTTTTGCAAGCTCTGCTATGTAAGTATTAGGGTTGGGCCAGTAGACGATGGGCGCATTGCGATGCTCCGCCCCGCCCCCGTTGCAAATCCGCTCGCGAAAAATACACACGCAGGCCCTGTTTACACTAATGTGTCTTTGTTTTTGAATGATATTTTAGAACGACAACGATGATCGACATCCACAGTGGCGTGTAGCATTTCTGAGCCGCCCTTCTTCCTCACTACCGCTGAAAACGCACATCACGTAACCACACAAACTCATTCACACACAGACACACACATACCAGACGCACATACACTGTCATATGCGCTCGAGACAGCGGG